AGTAAAACAGTGGCTAAAGTCTAAATTCAAGATGAAGTAGCTAAATGCTAAAACCAGTAAAACATGGCTAAAACTCAGGATAAAGTAGCTAAATGCTAAAATCAGTAAAACAGTGGCTAAAGTCTAAACAGGATAAGGTGTCTAAAAGCTAAAATCAGTAAAACAGTGGCTAAAGTCTAAACTCAGGATAAAGTAGCTAAAAGCAAAAATCAGTAAAACAGTGGCTAAAGTCTAAACTCAGGATAAAGTAGCTAAAAGCTAAAATCAGTAAAACAGTGGCTAAAGTTTGAATTCATGATGAAGCACCTGAAAGCTAAAACCAGTAAAACATGGCTAAAACTCAGGATATAGTAGCTAAAAGCTANGGACCAGGTTCTGACCCGGTTCGGTTCTTTTATGAATGAATGTTGGGACAGAGGGTCCGGCTGTGACGTCACCGGGGGGGTCAAACGGACCTGGGTTCCGCAGGTCACGACGCACCACGGGCGCGCGCCCCGCCCACGAACCGCCGCGCGCCTATAAAGCGGGCCGGACCCCATCAGAACCTCCAGCTGACCCACAGACCGCCGGACCGGACTGAGACCTCCGAAGAGTTCTGGACCGAACCGCGTCGAGACACTTCGGAACCGAACAGAGACGTGTTCACACTAAAGGTTGGTTCTGGTGTTTTTAGCTCTTCAAAGTTCTGAAACTGACCCGGTTCCGTCTGCTGTTTAACCCGGACCCAACAGAACCGAGTCAATCAGAACTTGTGGGTCCAAAGTGAGGTTCGGTTCTGTTTGTGTGCAGATGGAGGTCTGTCACACCGGGTTCTACACCGAGGACTTCAGCTCGCAGGAGGTACCGGCCGGGTTCGACTTTGGACCCTATGGTGAGTTCTGGTTCTGGTTCTGCTCAGAGTTCTGTTCTGGTCCGTTTCCTGCAGCTAGAAATCATCATCATCATCATCATCATCATCATCATCATCATCATCATCATCATCATCATCATCACTTCTGACAGAGGAAGGTCAGAACTCTGACCGAACCTGGGGGCGGTTCTGTTCAGGGCGGGTGGTGCTGAGAGACGGGTCAGGTTCTGGACCTGTCCCCCCAATCCTGTCCTCCAGACTTCCTACCCCCCCTCCTGTTTCCTCCTCCTCTTCCTCCCCCTCCCTCCCCCGTTTCCTCCTGACCCAGTCCGTCCATCGTTCCCCGGGTCTGCTCCAGAACCGAGCCCGGGATCTGCTCCAGAACCGAGCCCAGGATCTGCTCCAGAACCGAGCCCAGGATCTGCTCCAGAACCGAGCCCAGGATCTGCTCCAGAACCGAGCCCAGGATCTGCTCCAGAACCGAGCCCAGGATCTGC